CAACGGTTCTTCGGAAAATTTCCTCTTTACAACTGAAATACGAAGAAAGTGAAGCCGGTGCAACCCGAAGCAGCACGTCGTGTCTTAGCTGGAAAGCTCTGAATTGGTGAAACTGAGGAACATTTGCAATGGAAATAGCTATAGACTAGCGTCCCTCTTGCGAAACACTACCTGTGGGAATAGAAGTGCAGGGTGGAAAATATATCGTCACCCATAACGACTTTAGAATCTATGAAAGCTGGAAAATGAGGTTTGGGGCAGCTCCAGGCTAGACATTGCAGCAATACTGAATTTTTGGTTTGTTCACATGTGCAGATGGCACGAAATTGCTTAGAGGAACAATCGTCTGCTTTCCAGGTATTTATTCCATTAGCTCTACCACTTAGCAGATTTAAAGCCCATTGAATCCGTGTGTGACATATTGCAAACGATGCTGTTCTAGAGCTACACCCAATTAACACAACTCAGAAAAGTCTGGGACGTGCCTGGAAAGATACAGTCACACAACGACTCCAGCAACTTGTCCACTCTATACCACGTGTCATGTAACCATCATTTACAAGGCAAGTTTGCAAGCTACACTTTATCAAGTAGCTGCCTTTAATTTTTGACTCTTCAACACACATACACACACACAAATATATATATGTGTGTGTGTGTGTGTGTGTGTGTGTGTGTGTGTGTGTGTCGAGCAATATGGGTGTCCTTCACAATGAAGAAATCGTATTTTCCTGCCACTTATAAAACACTGATCTTGTATGTATTACGCTGTATTAAATCCGAATCAAGTTCGAGGTTGTTGATTATTTTATTCCCACTTAACCCATTTGAAAATGTTTTCCTGCCGATATGGTAGACAAAATATCAGTCCTTCTGGCCACCCTCACAAAAATTGTAAGTGGTGTATTTTCTCTTTGTTTGCAAGCAGCCATGACCGCTCCTATTTCCGAGACTCTTCGCGCCCACTGAAGAATTCCCATATGTTCCGGGAGAGAGAGAGTGTGTGTGTGTGTGTGTGTAGTGTTGCTGCCAGACGAAGTTGGCCTTCTCAATTCCACATGTTTCCTTTCTTAATAGAGAGAATTTACACTGCTGCCATATATAATAATCTTCCTTTTTCGTTATCCAAAATTCTCTCTCTTTCTTTCTCTTTCTCTCTCTTTTCTCTCTCTCTCTCTCTTTATATATATATATATATATATATATATATAGATAGATAGATAGATAGATAGATAGATAGATAGATACATAGATAGATAGATAGATAGATAGATCATTAAGCTTTTTACTTAATTTTCTTGTGTTCGTGTAAGTATTAATGAAGATCAACTTAAACAATTTTACACATTTTATGCCCAGAAAAGAAAACACTTATACGAACACCAGTAAAATTAAATAAAAAGCTTAACCGCAGTACCTTATCAATTGCTCTTAATGAACTATGTATAAAAGAGTGATTGATTCCCAAATACATTATATATATATATATATATAGATAGAGAGAGAGAGAGAGAGAGAGAGATAGTGAGAAAGAGATTCTGTGTTTTAAGGTAGCAAATGTTCTTTAAGGCAAATAATAATAATAATAATAATAATAATAAATAAAGCAAATTAAAAACGACAGACATTATTTGTCGATTAATTTTAATGTTCGACTTTTCCCCGATTACGAATAATCCTAGTCAGACAAGAAGGAAATTCCATCAGAAATTGTCCGAGAAAAAAAATTTTCGCTGGGGCAAATTTTATATCCGATTCATATTTTGGGGTTTTGTTTCTTTATTTTTATTATTTATTTTTATCTAATTTATTAGGTTTATTTTATTATTTATTTATATTGTTTTGTTGTTAGTTTTTTCGCTTCTGAATTTTTGTATTTTAAATAAAGTTTATTACATTTAGTTTACGTGTTATTTTGTAGTTTTTAGAGTTGTGATGTTGTTGTCAGTTGCGTGGTAGGAATTTATTTTCGTATCTCCTTTTAGAAATGAACTCTAACCTTTTCTTTAGGATTTTATATTTTACTATTGCTATTTTCTCCCCTAGACAAAAATTCCATGAAAATGTTGTTGTAAGTCGGGGCTGTTTTTCTCATTTCCCATGTTATTTTTATGTGTTTTGGCTTGTTTTTGATATTCATCAATGGTTTTGATATTCATAAATGTTTTTGAAATTCAGAAATGTTTTTGATATTCAGAAATGTTTTTAGCACGCCGTGCTGCTTGAATATTTTTTAATTGTTACTTCCTGTCAGTTGCTTCCTTTTTCCAGGATCCTTCTGCTGTTCTTATAATGTTCTTTCTTTCCTCTAAATCTTACATTAGCTTATTACGTTGGTTTGTAGGTTGTTACTGATATATTTGTCTCATTTATTGTATATAAACGCTATCAATGTTGAGAAGTGTAATAAAACTGTTTTTTTTATTTAAACAGACAAATATTTGCCCTTTATCTCTAGGAAGGATTAATAATCCTTGTAATATTCTTCTCGTCACCATTTATGAAAAGCAAAGGGAAGAAATCAGCAAAATATAAATCATTTAGATAAACCAAATTTGGTAAAATACCACAGTTGTGCAATATCCAAAAAGATTACTATTCACTCTACTAACAATAATCTTTAAGATTAAATCGTGGCTTTTCGGGGATTATCAATCTGTATTGAGAACGTTGAATAACTGCCACTTCGTATATATATATTTCATTTCATCAAGAAACTCGGCGTCGTTGAAAATAATACAAATATCTATTCCAGACTACATAAAACCGAGTATCAGAGGAAATAAAAGAACTATGCATATATAGATAATCCTAAGGAGCCAGGCAATCCTAGGTTTCGCCTAAACGGATCTTCAGGGTAAAGCCGGCTGAAAAGGACTTGGAGCTTAAACACTGGACGATTGTTTTCGCCTTGTTTTAATGTTCTTTTTTTATTCCCCACTAGCAGAATGGCCCGGCGTTGCCCGTGCTTGATTAAAAAATCGTACGACTCATACAGCAATCACTTGATTTAAATATTTTTGCCCTTCTTTCCTTTAAAGGTGTGCCCTTTGTCGTGCTGATGTTGCTACATGCCTTACTTCTTGCCTATCTCACACTGCGAATTTTTTCTAAGCTCTATACTAAACATTAAATCTGTTACGAAAAAAGAACTAAACAAAATGAACTCAAAACGATCAGCCTTAAAAAAAGGACTCGTAACTGGAAAAACCGAATGAAAAAAGAATGTTAACAACAAATACTTTTTCACACCTATCCCAGTTCTGCGGAATCAGAATCAACGTTGAGTTTCAGCAAGCGAATGAGCCAATTGGAGTAAAGTGCCACGCAGATTTAAATTTTTCCCACTTGTGACGAATGCAGCTATCGATTTTTTTGCATTCGTGTCAGTCAGATGTTGGCTCTCACGCTGGCCAATAGAATCTTCCTGCCTATTCGTGGCAGCCAGCTATTGGATCTCACTCAGTACAAAATGGCCGCAAACTACATGAAAACTGACGTAGAAGCATGAAAAAATCGATTATTTCCACTATCGATGGAAGTTGGGAAATGCAAAGTCGGTCTTAGCACTTCCCTTCTTGAACATGTGCATGTAAATTTTGGTGCAAATCCGTCGAAAAATTGCGGCTGTGCATTCGTTACACACACACACACACACACACACACACACACATACACACACACACACAACCTGCCTTTTATAGATAGAGATTTTTTTTCCAAACAGAGTACCACCATTTATATATATATATATATATATATATATATATATATATATATATATATATATATATATATAATGAACAGGACCCAGTGATGAAAATCTTTATCTTTTACTGTTTACCAAGTTAGTTTCGTCGGCTATCACACAGTGCGCCATACACGTTCGTCTTGTGCTAAAATAAACTAAACTTCGTAAATAATTAAACCTGTGTCCGAACTGAGCAACTTTTGCACGGTGTCACCGAACAGTGTCTTAGCCCAGGTAAAAGTTAGAATTTTGAACGCTGATTTTCCAAGCCTGCAAGCTCTCTACTCTTAGAGGTTTGTTTCGACAAAACCCTTCCTAATTTCTGTTTTTTGTTTATTTGGTCTTATTTATGACCTGCTGAATAGGTAAACTCAGTACTCATGAACATCCTGCAAAAACTCCGGATGACATGAGTTCTTGGTATATAATGGGAATGTGTTTCCTTATATTAAATTTTTCTGTTGATCAAACCATTAAACTTTATGCATTTTTATTACATATCTTCCTCTTGTGAAAATGAATGTTAAAAGGTTCATCTTTTAAACCATTTCTCCTGTAATTCATTCGACCCTCTCCAGGCTCCACATAGTCGTGGCTTTCCAATGTATTCTACTACGTTAGATAATAAGCCCATAAAGACTTGATGATGGACTGGATGTTCACTGTTGGGTTTTAATTAGTATTTGTTAGTGAAATCTTTCGTTAGCATTTCTAGAAAACGTGACAGAAATCAGATTTGTTGCAAATTTATTAGTAGCTAAGACTTTAGTGATTAAAATTAAACTATTTCGACTGAAAGACAACCAGTTAAGCATTCCAAGTGCTTACTAAAAACACTCTGACACAAAAAATTCATTTTTTTCTGGCATTATTCAACGGCTTCAGTGATCTGACCCCCACTTCCGGATCAGTATTGTTTGCTTTAGAAAACTCTTTATAATACTTTCCCGACTCGAAACTGAATCAATGCCTTAAAGTGAGTTTTACATGATTGATTGATTGTCTTTTTACGGCTTATCAACCCTTTGCAGGTTATTTAAAGCCAGAAAATATTTTTAGATTGTAAGAACTTTTTTGGAGATAGTAATGATTTACAGATACAATTTCTATTAATTAATCCATAGCTTGGGGCAGAAAGGGTTTATTCATTCCTTTCCCAAGAGTATTTGCACGTAAGTAAATATAATGGACCCGACAAGAATTGGAACTCGGCTCTCCATTATCCACTACACTACTCGTACATCCAAACTTACAGCAGCTTTTATTCCCAAGTGTTCACCCATCGAAGTACTGACCAGACTCGATGTTGCTTAAATTCCCTGATCGTACGGGAACCGGTAAGAAAACTGTTTACAAAGTCATACAATTTTCTTATGAAAATATTACTGACCTTGGCTACTTTCAGTAAAACGCCGCTTTATTCGTTAGATTTGTACTTGAAAGTTACAAAAAAAATCAAATTCTTGACAATTACTATTTTGTGTTTCGTAAAGATTCCAAGTGAAATCAAAGACACGCCTGTTTTAACACAAGCGAGACGGAACGAAGATGGAATTGACCCTACCTCCCTACCCCCACCCCGCCCCGCCATCGTTAACCAAAGAAGCATTTTTTCTTTTACTAAATATGCCTGCGATATTTACTTTTGGGCGGTAAAGCAGAAAAAAAAAGTTTCTAATTAAAAAGTTACAAGTTGAAGGTTTCATCTGCAGTCGTTGGGTTAAACTTCGAGTTCGATTTTCATTCGGAGCTCAATACTCATGGTCTTGTGCCAAGCTAAGATGAGAATATCATTTTTTTTAATGCCATGTTTTTTCATCATGTAGCTGTTTATAGGTTGCCAGATTCCTTTTCTTTATTATTTGTGAATTTCTATGCATTTTTAGGGAAGTAGTGGAGGGGATTCACATTGGCATCGCCTTGATTTGGAATTCAGAGTTTTCCTTCTCTTAGACTGATTGCCACCCAAAGCTAGGGAGTCAAGTCTACCCTACTATTTCATTCATAGCTGGGTGATATCAATTACGGCGCAGAATTTAAAATATTATAAACAATATATAAGTTCAGTCGTAAAAGAAGACAAAAAACATGAATTTTGGAAAGGCAATGAATAGAGAACTGAAAGAAATAAAAAATATATTTTGTATTTAGACTTGCAAACGATTTTATTTGAAATGTTAAATAATATCCGAAGCTGTTGAATAATTTTTAATGATATGTAAATGACTGTCTAATTAGCATAGCTAAGGCATAGACTATATAAATGCCCAAGCAGTAAGGGTAGACCAGCTCTCGGTATACGAGATAAACGACTAAAGATGGTCTGATAAAATACGAAGTAAATCCCACCTCATAACATATTTGTCATTCATATATTACAGGATTTGTCGATTAAAACACGTCTTAACAAACTAAATATATCTAAACCCAACATTCAATGCACTGATATAAATATTTACTGATTTTAACTAATTCTATCACAGGACCACAAAATAAGAGTACCCAGTTAGTATAAACTCCCTACAGTTGTTTATACTCTGCTGCGAAGCGCATTTGAATATATATTGTACTTAGCCTAGTCTGGCGCAAGGCTACAGGAAGCGAATATCAGTGAAAATCGAATATATGAATAGTCTACAAAACGAGTTTGCTAAACCTCAAACTTTCGTAAAATAAAATCCTTCAAAGCGTTAATATTAATAATAGTAGAAGTACTGAAGACTGTACAGTTCTAAAGTCGGGATGAGTTGCGTCGAGAAAGAGTCTGAGAAACACCTTCAATTAAATAAATAAATAAAAAAGCTACTTTCACCATAACACAAGATATGCCTTTCGAAATGTCATTTTTCATGATGGTTACGAATTAATGTCAATGCTAGAAATTTTGGATTATAAGTACAATCAAGGATTAACGATATTCCTGTCGGATAATTGCTGAGACAACTGCTTTTTTGACACTGGAATCACCTTGACGTTTATTGGTTACAGTTTCAATCGTTCTTCGAAAATATTTAGAATGTAAATAAAAAATAGTTATCAGCTAATAGATAAGAAGAGGATGTTTTCAAACTGGGAAGGTTATTTGTTGCTGGTTGATTTTATTAAAATATGATCAGGTAATGAAAAAATTCTCTTTTCCTTTCTATTCCTCTTCATCCTTTGAATTCTTTCACTACAAAAAAAAATTAAGAATGTGTTAGATGATGACGAAAAAAAAACAGGTTATAAAGCCAATAGGCATCACTCAAAGGAAAAAAGAAAAAGGATAAAGAGAATAAAAAGATAAAGAAAAAGAAGAAAGGAGACGAAAGAAGAAGAAAGAAAGAGTAAAGTGAAAATACCGGAAGAGAAAGAAAAGGTGAAAAAAAAAAGCCGAAGTTGAGGGAGGAGGGAAAGATAGTAAAGAAAGTGTTGCGATAACAGGTCAGTTGGCCTTGACCCACGCAAAGCTGAGGAGGCGTAGATAAGGCAATGAAATCTGGTGTTATCCAACGTAACCGTACATCTAAATCAACACACTTCTATCACTATCGCCATAGCAAGTACAATTATTATCTTAGTTGCCATACTATTACTCACCATTAATGCCATCGCCATGAAAAAACACACACATACACACACACTGCTGATCACAGTGTTTATCGTTACTCCTTCTACAGCTCCAATAATTGCCTTTTGTGCATATGGCGAATGCTAAAAGCATTGATTGGTCAGAAGCCGTGCCAAAATCTGTGACGGTTCCCTAAAAAACACTCGAACTTCTTCATGGCTTTTCACTTCATATTACTTAAACATAAACCAACAGATCTTATTTGCAATCGGATTGGTCGACAGCAAGAAAACGAATCAGATAATTTTTAAAAAAGCTATCTTTTATTTATTTTGTTCATTCTAAGGATACTCACCATAGCGCAGTAGTTAGCATTATAATCAAGTCAAGCGATTAAAAAGTTAGTTCTCTCTCGGCTGAGAGTTATATTGAAAAGTGAATATCTGAAAAAGTTGAGACAAAATAACTATGATGGGGGCCAGTTGGTAAGTAGATAGATGCATCCTGCTAATAAAGTTGGTTCCCGGTGGCGTGTGCCAGATAATTTTGCCAGACAATCTTGCACCTTTATAAGTCTAGCATTCGTCTGTGAATCGAATATTGTGCTCAAATCTGGTCAGGTATTTCTGCTGTATATCTAGAGAGATTCAAGATAAATGCCAGAAAAGTGTTTGTAATATTTATCGGTCCTGACCTGGCATCTTGGCTTCAATTCCTTCCCTACATCTGTAACGTGGCTACCCTGTGCCTTTTCTATAAATATTTTCATGACAATTGTTCTGACAAGCTTTTCTCTATCGTACCTGGATTTCATGAATTTAGTTTTAAATTCTAAATTCGCAGATATGTCTCATCTTTTTACTATTGAAATTGCTAAGTTCTTTATTTACATTATTCGGACTATTGTCCTCATCTTTGTCGCCATATTTATTACAACGTTTCGGCCGCTGTACGCTCCAGCCTTCTTCAGGTGGTTGGAATGTCGAACTGAACCCTTTATTTCGCTCACTGGGGTAGACTGTTCTAGTTCCACATGCCATGTTTTAATGTCCTCAAGGACACATAGCACAGTGGATAAAGGCGTTAGTTAGATCCACTGACAGAGCCCGAAGTGTGTGAGTTCAATACCCGGTTAAGGCAGTAGAGAAGTTGGAGAGGGGAATTAACAGGAGATAACTGATAACTGATATCCATTAAACATGGCACGTGAAACTAGAGCAGTCTACCCCAATGAGCGAAATAAAGGGTTCAGTTCGACATTCCAAGCACCTGAAGAAGGCCGGAGCGTACAACGGCCGAAACGTTGTAACAAATATGGCGACAAAGATGAGGACAATAGTCCGAATAATGTAAATAACGTACATAATACCTCATCTCAGAAATATAGACAGATGCTTGCTAAGTTCTGTTCTAACAGTTTCTTCTCTCGAACTTCCCGCTTATGGAATTTTCTTCCAACTTCTTACTTTCCTGTCAACTACAATGTCGGAAAATCATCATCGTCTCTCTTCTTGAAAAACCGTTCTTTTATTGTCCTTTCTCCTCGGTAACATTTTATCAATTTCTTTCACACTCGGTAAACCCTTTCGTCTTAGTTGCTTTATCGCCTTGCTTGGGATGAAATGATTAAAAATGTCTAACGTGATAAGTACAATTTTTTTCTGAGACCAATGTAACTTTGAAAAAAAAATCTTCATGAGCGCTTGTGTGGATTTTGTAAGAAAATAAACAGGAATTTTAAAACAGAAAAACAGAAAAGGAAATATATTTTTATATTTTGGATAATCTAGATGTAAATAAATGTTTTATTAACAGGATTAAATGGCGTCTCTTTACGCTGTAATGATTAAGTTGCAAGTTTTGCAACTTATTACAACAGTCAGTTTGATTCTCAGTCTGGCCTCATATTTCAGACCTTCTTCAAATACTGCACTCCTTTTAAAAAATAATTATTTATAACACCAAATAATAGTTTATGGTACAAGATTTGTGTGACGGAGCCGAGGTCGATTAGCGGATAGATAAGCGTATCGCACAGGGAGAACTGTTTTGGTTTTCTTTCAATGACTTTAATGAACAAAGACAGACCTCCCATGTTGAATGACATTTTGGTGTAAATAGCGATAATCATGAAAAATTCTACTTCTTCAAATAAATGACAATTTTTCTACAAACAAATTCGAAATAAAAAAATGTGCATTGAGCATTAGAAGCTAGAAGGGCATCTTTAGGTTTTTACAATCTCAGCGACTCACGCGTTCAAACGGACTTCATTTTGACCCTCCATTTGCTGATACGCCATTGACCTTAAGAAAAAAAGGATTGAAAATCCCTTACTGCATGGATTTCTGGTATCAGTTTTCATTATTTACATTCGGAAAAATGTCCTCAGCATTATTGCCACAACGTTTCGTCTGTCGTGCTCCCCCCGGCCTTCATCAGATGTTTATGAATCCAGGTAACTTCCAGGGAATTTCAAATTTAACCCTGTATTTAATATACAGGGGTAGATTGCTCTCGTGCTTTTGTCCATGTCTAGATGACAAATCTTGTTCACTTTTTCGTACTGCTCAGTTATTGCTCGATCCTTATGCCACTGGACGTGAGTCTGATCTACTCGGTCCAGAGTACGGTGCAACAAGCAATAACCTAGTGAATTTAAGTCATGTACAGCGATGCGTAAACAATATACCCACATAGATTAAATAAATGGTTCAGTTCGACAGACACCTGAAGAAGATCGGTAGGCGCAATGGCTGAAACGTTGTGAGAATTAAAAAAACAAAAACG